TTCTCTACCCCCCTCTCCTCCTTTCCCCCTCTTCCACCCCTCCTTTCTCTCTCTTCCTCTACCTTCTCTCCTCCTTTCTCCGTCTTTCTCTACCCTCTCTCCTCCTTTCGCACTCTTTCTCTACCCCCTCCTTTTCCCTCTCTCTCTCCTCTCCTTTTTTCTCTACCCTCTCTCCTTCTTTCTCCCTCTTTCACTACATTCTCTCCTTCTTTCTTCCTCTTTCTTTATCCTCTCCTCCTTTCCCCCTCTCCCTCATCCCTCTCTTTCTATCTCCCTTGGCCTTTCCTCTCCCTCTTTCTCTATCCTCTCTCCTCCTTTCCTGCTCTCCTTTCTTTCCCCCTCTCCCTCCTCTCTCTCTTTCTCTACCCCCTCTTCTCCTTTCCCCCTCTTCCACCCCTCCTTTCTCTCTCTTCCTCTACCTTCTCTCCTCCTTTCTCCCTCTTTCTCTACCCTCTCTCCTCCTTTCTCCCTCTTTCTCTACCCTCTCTCCTCCTTATCCACTCTCCTTTGTCTCTCTCTTCTTCTCCCTCTCCCCCTCTTTCTCTCCCTCCCTCTCTTCCTCCCCCTCTCTCCGCTCTCCGACCCTCTGGAGCGTATGTAAATCTTTTGTTTGCTCCATAATCACAGACTCCTGATTTTTCCAGTTTACAGAAAGAAGGAGGCTCCGTGGCTAATGCCGGTTGCCATGGCGTTCACTCAAAAGCTTCGGATACACTGACACATCCCACTTGTGATGTCAGCGGAGGGAGGGAGCGAGGGATCAAGGGACGGACAGAGAGAGGAGAGAGAGAGAGAAAGGTGAGAGAGAGAAGAGGGGGGGGATAGAGGGAAAGGAGGGGGAGAAAGATGGAAAGAAAGTAGAGGGAGGAACGGAGAGGGGGGGTTAGAGGAAAGGAGGAAATAGGGATGGAGAGAAAGAGAGAGGAAAAACAAGCATGATAAGGAGGAGAAAGACAGAGGGAGAGAGTGATACAGAAAAGAAAGAGAAGAAAAAAAAGAAAGGGAGAGAGAGGAGAGTGAGGAGTATGTGTGAGAGCGAGTGAAAGATGGAGAGACAAGGGGAAGAAAGGGAGAGGAGATGGAGAGAAGGAAAGAAAAGAAAACAGAAAGAGGGATGGAGGGGTAGAGAAAGAGAGGAAGAGGAGAGCGAAAGGAGGTTGTTGAAGGTTCTTCTCGTTGTTAAATTAATTAAATTTCCACCGTATGTTTTAGTATCAGGAGAAAAGAAAAGGGCAGCGTGTCTGGGAGGGAGGTCTCGTCCATCACACTTAGACCTGGTTTAGATCTGGTTTGGTCCTGACTTTGCCCTTTTTAAGACCTGATTTAGTCCTAGTGTAGAACTAATCGTGGTTTAGACCCAGTTTAGTCCTGGTTTAGTCTTGGTGTAGAACTAATCTTGGTTTAGTCCTGGTTTATTCTTGGTAGAACTATTCTTGGTCTAGACCTGGTTTAGTCTTGGTGTAGAACTAATCTCAGTTCAGACCTGATTTAGTCCTGGTGAAGGACTAATCTTGGTTTAGTCCTGGTGTAGCACTGATCTCAGTTTAGTCCTGGTTTAGTCCTGATGTAGAACTTGCCTGTACTTTTGGCTTTGTTGTTGATGCTTCTTGGTGTTGGTCCAGGTTTGATTCTAGTTCGGTCCCGCTTTGTTCCATATTTGGTGCTGGTTTAGTCCTGGTTTAGTCTTGGTGTAGAACTAATCCTGGTTTAGACCTGGTTTAGTCCTGGTGTAAATCTATTCTTGGTCTAGACCTGGTTTAGTCTTGGTCTAGAACTAATCTCAGTTCAGTCCTGGTTTAGTCCTGGTGTAGAACTTGCCTGTACTTTTGGCATTCTTGTTGTTGCTTCTTGGTGTTGGTCCAGGTTTGGTCCAGGTTTGGTCCCACTTTTGTCCAGATTTGGTGCTGGTTTAATCTTTGTTTAGTCTTGGTTCAGCCCTGGTTTAGTCCTGGTTTAGTCCTGGTTTAGTTCTGGATTAGTTCTTGGTGGAAAATGGGAGGATGTATGAGGTGAGAACAAATGGGAATGAATACGGTTATTTGTTAAAAGGAGAGAGAGACAGAGAGAGAGACATGGAGAAAGAGAGAGAATGTTGAAGAGAGAGAGAGAGAAAGAAAGAAAGAAGGAGGAGAGATGAAAGAGAGAGAGAAGGGGATGATGCGAGTGAGAGAGAAAGAGGAGGGAGGAGTAAGAGAAAGAGTCTAGAAAAGAGAGAAAAAGATAGAGAAGAGGAGTTAGGGAGCAAGAAAGAGAGAGTAAG